GGCGGCGGCCCCGGGGGCGGGACGGCTCTGCTTTTGACAGCTTGCCCCGGCACAGCCGCGACTGAGTTCGGTGGGTTCGGGATCCTGTGGCCCCTTTCTCCGCGCGTCCCCGTCCCCCCGTGGCCCTGGCCCTGGCCCCGGCCATGAAGCGCTTCTTCTCCTGCTCCAGCTCACAGGTGGCGGTAGGTGCCAAAATGTCTGGGAGTATGGGAACGGGGCTAGGGTCCGAGCCCTGTGGTGACAGGAGTCCTGTGTCCCACCCCGGGGCACCATTTGCCTTTTCCCTTTATCGGTCTTTCCAGATCTTCCTTCCTGCAATGCAGCTCGCCATTCCTGCCTCCCTCAAGACCCTGTCCCCAGCCTTTGCTAACCTCTGACCTCCCCAAGGTGCTTCCCCTTGGCCCTTGCTTGTCCTCCTGTCACCTGCAATCCCAGCTTCTCGTATGCTTCCTGCAGCTCTTCACCCTTCCGAAGCCTGTCCTCTACTTCGGCTCAGGCTCTCGGTTCTGAACCATCCTCAAGCTTCTGTCCTGTCCCCAGCCCCAGCTCAGCCCTAAGTTCCATTCTGTCGCCCAGGTCCAGTCCTGTGCTGTCCTCACAACCCTCCCTGCCCCTGTGGTCCTACTCTGGCTGCTTTCTCTCAGCCCAGCAAGTGCTCCCAGCCCCGTGCCTTCCCTGGCCCTTCTTCAAGGACTCGACTCCATCCTTGCACCCGTGCCCCTTCCATGCCCATCCTCTCCCCATTACCGCAGGCTCTCAGACATCACTCCACGCCTCTTTCTAATGGGTGCTCCCCACCAGCAGCCTTCTCCTGTTCTCCCTTCAGCTTCTGCCCCTCTCTGCCCCATGGTTGTTGAGCCCCACTGTTCCCCCCTTTGCCTGACCCGCCTGCTCTCTGTGGGTTAATCTTACAGTCTGGCCAGCCTGGCCGGCTCTGCCAGAGAAGGCACGGTGCCCGGCTCCTCCACACAGACCCGGGGAAGTGGCCTGCAGAATTCACCCTGACCAGGTCACTGCAGTGTCTGGTCATCAGACTGGTTTTTGGGCCAGTCAGGGCCTTCCGCCTGCTTCTCCCCAGAATCTTCCTTCACTCTACACCTTCACCCAGTTGGTGAGGGCTTGTCCTGCTTCCTTTGACTGAGTTGGGGGAGGTGGTGGTGAGAAGAGAGTGGACTCACTCAGAGTTCCCAGCAGAAGCCACTGTACTCCCCGTGTCCTCCCAGAACAAAACACAAGGAAGATTCCAGAAGGTGGTGGCTTAGGACGAGTATCCTTTCTTCTCTGAAGATCTCTTCCCGAGAGACCCCCAACCTCGGGACCACATTTTCTGTGGAGATTGGAATTAAGTACTGAGGATGCCAACGACCTGCATGATACTGCTTGGCCTGGCCTGACTTAGTGATGTCATTCGTGAGCCAACGTGAGAAATGCTGAGCGCGCCCGGCATGGGCGGGCCACAGGAGCCTGGAAGCGCGCTATGAGGCAACAGCAGGAGCTCTGTTGAGGCCTGTCCTTGTCCCACTTATATTTGCTTCTCCACTTTGTTTCTACACATTGATCAACCAATCAAGAGGCGTTCACTGAATGACTATTATGGGAACCGGAAACGGAGGCTACCCAGACTCTGTACTAACTCATAATGGTTTTCCTATTCACATGGACGCTTCCCTAGTTACTGAAAGTCCTCCACGGTGCCCCTCCCTTTCAGGTCTGTGGAGTCTGCATGTGCCTAGGAACGGGGACACTATTTCATTCTACCTGATTTTCCAATCCCTTGTCAGTGCCTCCTTTCCAGGATGCTGGGTGAGCTACGGGCTGAACGTTGGAATTTGGAAGGATTCCTCGGTCCTTCATCCAGCTCTACAAAGTTTAGGCCAGGAAGGATTTCTGCCCATTCTGAACTCTCCTTCGCATAACAAGGTTATAGGAAGTAAATTGGGTGGATTTAGAACTGTCTGGGAGAAAACTTTCCTCAGTCAGGATAGGATCGCTGAACGCTTGGTAATAGGCCAGTTTCAGTGGCAAATTGTTTCCTCATAAATTTCCTCATACCTCTTAAGATAAATTCCTCCACTCCCCACGTCGCTAACCACTCTGGACCCGTTTGTCAGAGAAATAAAATAGTGTGACAACCTCCCTGGCCACTCCTAAAGCCTGGCTTCCCAGTCACACTGGATTGGCCCTGCCCATCCGCACCCCACCTCTGGGTCCAGGGCCAGAGCCCTTCACTCTCAAATGGAGATAAGGACTGAAAAATCACTGATCATCTTTTTTTCTGTAAGATTTTTAATTGATTTTTTAAAAATATTTTTTATTGATTTCAGAGAGGAAGGGAGAAGGGAGAGAAACATTAATGATG